AGAGACCTCTCACAAAATAAGGGAATTTTTACTTCTAGAAAATTTCCTTTCCAGACACAGCCTAAGCAAGTAATAACAAATAAATGTCTTGTGGCTATACTGCAGGTACTTTGTGTGATGTAAATCAAGTTCCCACATGAATTTTAGTATACAAATGTCACCATCAGGTGCAACCTTAGCAGAAGCAGCAATAAGTGAAAGACAACATAACTCATCAGCTCTGTTCTAGAGTTATGATGAACTGTGACAGAGCTGATGCCATCCACATTGAACTGCATGCCCCAAGTCAAAAAAATCTTCAAATAAGTATAAGGGAAAAACCTTTCCTAGAGCAAATAAAAATAGATTAGTTGGTAGCAAGAGGGGTACTTTCAAACGTAAAGTCCTGAACACTTTTAATCATATCTGAAAGGGAATTTTTTAAATGGTTCTTCTTACGTATAAACACTGCAAGAAACAGAAATTAACTGATCAGCTCCCAGTAGCAATCACGGTGTGAAGTACAAAAGCTACACACTGGGCTCTGTAAAGTTATTTCTTTGCCAGTTACACCTGACAACCAACAGCTCTATCACAGTTCTACAGCCACCCCCACATGAACGGGAGAAAATACAACTGAAGAAAACATACTTTTTTCTTCCATTACATTCTTGTAGCCTTTTTTTCTCCTCGACACAAAGGCAGTATCATAAATACTTCACTTTAATGAGTGCACTGCCAAAAAGCATTCTGAAGCTTCTAGCTCTCATACGGCTTGCTCTGCAACCCAGCTCAAAGTTTAAAAGCAACACAAGTCATATGACAAGTTATAAACTTAAAAAAGGTTTCTTTCTTGTTATCGAAGAAATCAACAACCAAGAAAAAGCAATATGCTTCTGAAAAATTCTAAAATCCAATTATTTGTTTTCAAGGTAGTTATGCAACATATTGAAAAACTTGGGAATGACGTAATGCTGTATTCTAACTTGGTATGCACATTATTTGCATAACAAAACATATCTATAATAAAATATCTGAACTTCTACCAGTGCCTGAAATTTAAAATCTCTACAAGAGGATTTAAACCTACAAAAAAGCACCCAGGCTTATAAACTATAATTTATGTATTGTTAACACTGACATACATTGGTTTTATCCCTTGTATATTTCTAAACAATAAAAACACCCAGAAGCAGTCATTCAATGCTAATTTGTATTTACTACCTGAAAGCCCAGTTCAGCTAAAATCACAGCCCTTTATACTTAAAACTCACCTTAGGTCTCAACCAAGATATCTCGCCTCTGAACTGGGCAAGCGGGGTACAATAATCAAAAAATATAGAGGTATCACTGGCCGGAAACGTGGGGTCAGTGTAGAGATCTCTTTTCACCATTAATTGCTTTTTCTCTCCCAGCATTTTCAACACAATCCTAAGCAGCTTTGCCGGCAGTTCCCACGACTTTATATTGCCAGGCACAAACCTGCAACAGAAACGAGTGTTACTGGGGAATTGCAACAGGGAAACAAACGGGCACGGCGCATCTATTTAGGGACAGAAAGCCTCTCGCTCTAACACGCAGCACCTTGAACCACCACATTGCTGGTTGTTCCAGCACCCGATACCACCCTGTACGGCTCTGCTGGAAGAGAAAGGGGGTCTCTGAGGAGACCTACACCCATTTACGTCCCCTCCCCCCCGCTCCGCACACACCCTCCCCACAGGGCTCCCCCCCAACACCCTTTTCCTCGCGCCCAGCCCCAGCAGGGCCCCTCTGCTCACACCTCCTCCCACCCAGCAGCCCCCCGTCCCCACAGGATCTCTCAGCCCGGCCACCCCCGCACACACCCCCGCTTCCTCCTCACCGCGGGGCGGCCCCGCCGCCGCCATTGCCCGGGGCGGCCGTTACCGGGCAACGCCGCCGCCCGCGGCCCCGCCCACCCCGTAGGTGACTGACGGGACAGCCGACCAATCAGCGGGCGTTACGTCCTCACGCACCACCCACTGGCTCCGCCCCCCAAGGGGAGTTCTCGGGATCCGCGAGCCCGTTGTTCAGATTCCCCGTACCGGAATTCCTGGGGGAGACGGGAGACTGCCTGCGCGGAGCATTATCTCAGAAAGGAGCGCAGTGGTCACCCGAGCTGGTCTTACAGGCGGAGGAAAATGAAGCCAAACACTGTTTTCGTGATGATTGTGACAGAGAAGCTGTCAGAGAAATTGCTGACCCCTCACCAATTATACCCCTCTTTCCTGGTATAATGGCAAAGATCACATTTTCAGATATTTTATCACCATGTAATTGTCCAAGGACTGTACTGGCATAGGAAATAACTTCTCATACTCTGATAGCTACTGCTGATCAGTGAAATAGAAAAAATACCCTAAAAAATACTGACTTGCTCATGACAAAGGACAGAAATGCAGAAATAAGGGCCCCATGAGACCATCCTTCAGCATACCAAGGTTTTGGGACAGGTCAAGGCACACTGCAGCAGGCTGCTTTCTTTTTCTGTATTTGGGCCTTTCACGTCAGTGTTTCTCAAGGAGCTCAGGTTTGGCCAACAAAGCAGCTGCTGAGCCAGCGTGGGAAGACCTGGTGTTTACAAAAAAGCTTGTTTTTCACACTTGCCTGTGACGTGTTTGAGTCTAAAGGTTATGTCCCCTGGTCCTTGGGTAGAGAGGTCATCTGAATGAGAGAGATCCACAGAAAACACGTGCCTGACTGGTTTGCATCAGAAATGAATGCAGAAATCCTCCTCTTGAGCCAACTTTAGCAGATGGAAATGCTCACAGGTAACTGCAGCAGCTGTCCGCCCACAAATAGGTTCTCTGTCCCTTGGTCATGCCCGTTGTACTGACACAAGACTTCTCCCCTGCATACTGCAAATTTAATCAACAAACAAGACTTTTCACGTTCAGTTTTGACCCTTTTGGGAGCAGAAGAAACATTGCTGGCAGTAAGAATAAGGACCCCTCTTGTCCATGGCTGATGTGAGGGAGCTGCAGCTGCGAGGGAGCCAACACAGGAGAGGTCTGTTGGGGGAGGGAGAGGGGAAAAAAGGCCTCTGTGTCAGGAACAGTGAGGCTCTGATCTATGTGATTTCAGCCCTGCGTTCTTTAGGGAACAGCAATCACAGATCACAACTGCATAAATTCCATTAAAGGACAGACTCTAGAAAGCAGGAGCTCTAACTAAATACAGTAGGCCCAACCTGGAACAGTTAACTAGTTGAACACATAACTATGAGTTATCAGAAAAAGGAAAGAGTTGGATATTATCTTTGTCTCCTAGATACCTTACATGCTTTCCTTGCCCCACGGCAGACTTGGAAAGGGGCAAATTCATGCATTATGCAGCTGATGATATTTTTTTTTGTTAACCTGAACTCTTGGGAAAAAAAGCAGCAGAGAATTTTCTCTGTTGCTTCTTGGCAATCCTGCTGAATTAAACCACTCCTGGAGACACAAACACAGTCCTGTTGCTATAGATATTTAAAGTTAAAAGGGATTTGTGTCCAGCTAAATAGCCAGCTCATTTCCATATGAATGAAGACAATCCTTTAGAATAGCATTGATATTTTCATGATTATTTGCCAGCCTTTGGGTTTCATCAACCCCATGTTTGCTTTTGTCTCCAGCTCCTGGTGGTTCAAGAACAGGGGGACAAGTAAAAGTGATAGAGCAGCGGTGGCTGGGCCCAACATGTGTGTTTGTTTCTGCAAATTATGATACATGGAAATTGTTCACAACGGAGCTCTTCCAGTTCTCTGGATCCTAATACCAGAATCAGGATGGCAAAGGCTTAGTCCCTGCAATATCACTCAGCTGACAGTGGTCGGCCCTGTATCAGAGGAACAGCACAGAGTATCTTTTTCCTTAAGGGAGACTTTGGAAGGGGTGCTTGGGGTTATAGATCTCTCATTAGCTCAGGCACAGCTCCAAACTTCCAGCCTGGCTACCACAGCACACAAGAGCAAGGTGGTACAAAACACCAAAATTAAAACAACGCACAAAGCTGATGCTCCCCTAGATCATACTCCTAAAACATCAACCTCAATCCCTGTGACACTTTATACCAAATCATATCCTGTCTCCCACCCTTTCTTATCACCTCCCACTTTGCCTTACAATGCATCAACCAACATGGCTATGAAATGCTAAAAAAATTAAGTTAGAAATATTCCATTTTATTAAAGGGTTTGGCTCTTCCGAGCTTTTCCACAAGTGATATTTCTAGATCCCATGTTGCCCTGCTCAAGGCTGCAATGACATAAAGTAATAGTTTTCATTTTCAAAATAAAAAAGATAACCCAATTTCTTGGCATCTGTTTAAATAAAATCAATTTGTTGTACTAATCTGACTTAAACAGATCAGAAATTAACGTACCAAAGATAAAACAAATAAATAGCTTCTATTTAATCAGTCTAATTTGCCTGTCAACGTGAAGTCTACTACAAATCAAGACAGAAAGTAACCTGAAGCACTAATTTATTTTATGTCAACAAAAGGAAGGCTTATCTCTACAAACTTGCTGCCAATTTTTTGCCTCTCCAAAATAAAAATGCACTCCTTGCTCACAGGAGAAACAAAAGTACCTGAAAAAGAATGCATGGAATACTTTAAACAAATCTCACTCTGCTTCTATGTTTCAGAAAACCAGTCCGACAATAAAAGCCATTTGATGGGATCTCAGAGAGATGATGAGAGCAAAAACACTAACTTAGGTTTCTTTAAAAAGGAAACAGTCTGGTTCAGGCAGTATTTCCTTGCTCTTATGGGTGTATATGCAAACACACAGCTGATCTCATGTATTTCTATCAGTTGTAGGAACAACAGATAATATTTACTTTTGATTATTTGCTTTTGCCACCTCTCCAGCTTCTTCTTCTGCAGCTTTTAAACAGCTTCCAAACTCCCTCTGTGCTGCACCCCAGAAAAGGACAGAACAAAAACATTGTACCAAGTTAGCTCTTCCACACAGCCACAGCAGAGACGCTAAAAAACTGCCCAAAAGGCTGAACTTGTCACAAAGCTTAGTTTAATTTGACAGTCATCATAAGGCATTCATGTAATGAAAAATTTCCACCAGGGTCACAAATATTCTCCCATGAAATAAACCGAGTTAAAACAGAGGCCTGTGATTCCAAAAGATGCTAGTGGTTCCTGGTCTTGGCCAGGCCGCCGCTGCCGGCAGTGGGGTCCGGGAGGCGCAGCACCAACAGCGGCAACTCCGGAAGTGTAAAGTCAGCTTGTACAAATCTCTTTCAATAGAACAACAAATGAAAAGGAAAGAGATTTGTGCAGAAAACATCATTCTCCATCCTTTCTGGGAAAACAAAACAGAATTACAGAGATAATCCCATTCAAGGAGCAAAGAGCAGAGCTTGGAGTTCTGAAGCCCAACAATGCTGATGGCCCATTTTTAAAACTAATGAAGCACTACAGAGGCCTGAGTTTATTATTGCTTTATCCCAGCTCAGCCCAGGCTAAGGCTATGGTGAAGTCCAAATTAATTTAAAGCCAGAAAATGCAGATCCAGTAACAGCACCGAAGTCCCCATCCACACATGGGTGTAAACAGATACTTTTGGTGAAGAAAAAAACAAGCCTCCCAAATTTCCCGCTCTTCCTGTTCTGTGCAGATCCCCATAGCAGGGCTAAAATTTGCCCTGAAGTATAAAACAGTTTCTCTCACATCTCCGTTAGCTGAGCCTCTTGCAAATGTTTCACCTTTTATTCAGACTATCCTGGTGATTCATCAGCTCAGAGGTGCCTTGCAGGAGCTCACAGAGGGGCACACAGGCACCCACGTGTTTAAAGTGTTGTGGCACAGAGTCTATGAACCATCGCCTGTACTCTGTAACACCCAAGGACACTTTGCCCTCAAGTTTCCTGAGACCGAACGGCGCAGACAGAAGACAACGTCTCCGCATCCTGCATGGCTGGCCAGTGATCCAGAGAAACAGCACATCTGGTAAATTAAATGGCACCTTACTCCCACCATAAGTCAGAAAACAGACTCGGGTAAAGTGGGGCTTAAAAGTTTCTCATCAAGAGAAATGGTGCTTCCCTCAGACAGGGCAAACTCTTATTCAGGCAAACATTATTCAAGGTAGTAAAATTTTACCATGGATATTGCCAGGGTTGATTTACAAGCCAAGATATGCTGGGGATCTTAAGAATCTAAAGGTCCTGTTAATTCTTCCAAAAGGACAGAAGACACACAGAGTCTATCTGACAAACACATGTGCCGCATATCATGACACACTAACCAAGGTTGCAGCTAGACCAGAATTGATGGCATTTGGGCACCTAATTTTAACTTTTGTGAAAATTCAAGCCTACACATTTCCTTATTGCTTGTCCCACAAGTGCAAAGGGAAAATGGAGGGTAGGGTTAACTACAGAAGGATTTCAAATCCATCATAGGGTTTCCCGGTTCTTATTGATATATCTTTTTATATATACATAAAAAGCATTATTATTATTATTATTATTATTTAGCCACCTGTGGGCAGGGGGCAACAGGAGCTATTTAAAATTAGTTTCTTATTGAAGTATTAATCCCCTTCCTCCCAAATCACAATACCTTTGTCACAGGAAGGAGCTTAACATGAAAACGTGTTTGCTGCCACTGGCAATTCCTGAGTCTCTCCTTTGCAGAACTTTAGCCCAAATATCAGGACAATGACAGTTTGACACATACACACTCCCCAGCAACATACACACAGCAAGTAGAACATGCCTCAGTGGCCTCAGACAAAAAAAGAAAAAAAAAAGAAAAGAACCCCACCAATCAACAGATTCGGAGAAACCATCCAGATGAGCCTCAGGAAAGGGAACTATCCACTTTCCATGCAGAAGCAACTGCCCAGGAGTCCCTGCTCAGTATAAACCAAATCAAAATATTCATCACACAGCGGAAGGATATCTCTGAAACCTGGCAGTGTCACACACTGGATACTTGAAGGCACATTTGCTTTGTGTTTTGGGAGAGAAATCCAGTTACAATGACACGCTGCAGCTGCAAGGCTGAGAGAAAGGAGGCAACGCTTGGTATCTTTCCTCTGTTCCTGTCCCCATTTTCAAGCTTTGTGGCTGGCATGAACTGGTGATTTAAGCAGACACGTTGACATCCCTGAGTGAAATGGCACCATTTGTGGCCTCTGAGACTTTGTCCTCAAGCACCATTGCTGGTGTGTCTGTAGTGACTGCTGTAGTGTCTATGGCAGGAAGTGGATTCAAGCCCTGTGATAAGATCTGTTGGATCGTTTTCCGCAAATTGGGGTGCAGCTGGTTTTGGGTCTGGTAAAAAATTTCTAAGGCAAAAGACTTGAGGGTGCCAGTGCAAAGGTCCTCATAAAGTGGAATTGTGTACATCCGAGACATCTGCAAAAAAGGAAAACTGGATAAAAACACTTCAATAAAAGTCAACAAGTTCGGATCTTCTACAGCTACACTCCAACAGCCCTGAATAACTTCACACTGTAGACAAGCAACACGTTTCTTCAAAAGACAGATGAGTCTATCCTAAGTAAGTCTAATGCAAAGATTTTTATGAATGATAATAAAAAAAATCTGCTCTCTGAGCCACTTCCACAAATAACAGGAAGGCCAAGGAGAAGAGGCCACACTGAATACATGCATTAACCTTTTGCTCCTGCACAATAACAATCACTGAAAGGAGCTCGATGAGCCCTCGCCTTGCTTGAAGTGTAAATATTCAAATAATCACATGATTCAGTAGTGTGAAAACTTCTGGTCTGGAAAAGCCAGGGCTGCTACAAAGCAACACAAAAAATGCATGGGGCAGAGCTGGGACAAGGGTATTGAGTCAGGCTAGAGAAGCAGAGATTATCTGTAGGCATTTCAAATTACATCTGCCCATTCCTCCCCGCCCGCTAGCAGGTGAGCCATGCTCAGCCCCTTCACAACACACCTGGGCTACACTTGGCCAGGAAGCAGAAGTTCCAAGGTCTTTCACGTCGCATGTCTCATGCACATGTCTCATGCACTGAGAGGTGCAGTGATTTTAATCCAGCAGTTAGTACCTGGTTTTCCAAGAAGCGACGGACTTTGTAAAGGTCTGGATAATAGTCATTTCGGACTACAATCTGCAACCAGCGGATACGGATTTCTGCATTCATGGAGTCCAGCTGAGAGGAGTAACATTCCGAAAGCTTTTTTATCACCTCTGAAGAGAGCACATACACAGAGAAAGAACTATGACCTATTTTGTTGATTTTGAGGGTCGACAGAAAATAACAAATCATAAAATCACAGAATCATAGGATGGGCTGGGCTGGAAAGAACTTTTGAAAATCATCTAGTTCAACACCTCTGCCATGGGCAGGGACATCTGCCCGTCTGACTAGATTAGGTTGCTCAAAGCCCCATTCAACCTGACTTTACGTGAATGGTAAGGTCAACCAGAAAGCTCTTTAGAATTCAATCAACTATTCCAGGAGTAATTTCTACCTTCCCGATAAGAGTACTCACCATGTGGCAGTGGTGACCCATCCAGCAATCTGTCCAGGAAAAGCACAGTTTGGAACGTTCTCCATTTAGTGAGGTCAACGCTGCTGGCAGCAGCAACAGAGTCCAGGGGCTCTGTGGTCCAGAGTTTGAAGAGTGTCTCCACTGGTCTCGTCAGACTGGATCCCTGAGATAAGTCTGGCTCAGCTAATGGAGGTCCTGTAGCATTGAGCCAACGTTCAAACTCCAGTCCTGGAATGAGGAATACCAAATATGTGGAGCAGGGATCTCTGCAGGTAGCTTGGCTGCCTCAAGGTGCAGGACTGCTTCTAACATAGTTAAGAGAGGTTCTAACAACAGTAAATCAGACCAGTCTACAGTTACAGTGGCACAGCAGCGTCATTTGGATAGCCTATGGAACACCTGAAAGAGTGCCAGCAACACCTCTCCAAACCTAACCATGAGCTTTCTAGAGCTCAACATTGCAGCAAGTAAGTACAAAAACCACACATGCCCTTAAGGCAGCCAGGCTGACAAGTATCTGTGATCAAACTATAAGACTTCTTGTGCATGCATTCCTCTTTCTCAGGATTATGAGGAGCACTAAAGAAAATTGGGAAAACCTGCTTCATAAAGAAAAAAAAAGGGAGATGAGAGGGCTGACTAAACTCTTCCTAGCCACCAGTAAAAACAAGCAATTTAAATTTATTTATACAATAATTAGCAAAAAAAATGAGTTTCTGCACAAGCAGCAGAGCCTGCTTTCCAATAAAGCTCTTCCCCTTGACCCTTTACCACCTCAGTACTTTCTAACCTCTGGCAATACTTCCTGTTCCACTCCATCTACCCTAAAACTCCTCTCTCCTGCATCCACTGAATATTAGCCAGGCAATAACTAGCCCATGCTGTGATTAACTTTTTAGCCAACCACTGGTCCAAGAAAAACACAGAGCTGCTGAGCTCCTGCTGCAGCTTTTCCCCACAGTAAGTTCACTCATCTACACCTCTCCACAGGCAGTTTCCTCTCCACAAAGCTGAAAGACCCCAGTATCTTTAGGAGCTGTACTCCCCTGCTGGTCTGGTTTAAACTGACCAACGGGTCTAATAACTACTTGCAAGGATGGACAACTGGCAAGACAACATTAGTCTCATTTCTTTAAGCAAGTGGGCTAGTAACACCTAGTAGATTACAGACCTTCCGTAAATCCACCAATAGCTATAAACAGGGGATATAAGAGAGAGTGAAACATTATGGAAGAGATTTTATGTATGTGTAGGACCCTGGGAAAGTTATAGTTCTCAAAGCATGTTTTCTACAATTGAAATAGATGGAATTTCGAAGTATATTCACCTTTTCCCTGCATTTGAGCATGTGTAAATCTTACATGCACTGATCATTCTGTCTGCAGAGTGAAAGATGAGTTAATGGGAAAGTTAACCAGGGGCCACTCAGCTAATTAATGACCAAATTGTCAGCAATTTAATATGTTCTCATTCCCCAACACAGTGACAGCAACAATAAATTCTGTCACAAACCTGGCTGTTGCCGAAGGGTTTTGTTCACCTTAGCATTTCCCAATGCATCCTCCAAGCAAAGCACAAAATTTATCATCCAGATTTTCTACAGTGTTTACAGTTAAATAAGTAAATCTCCTACCTGCTTTGCTCTCAACACATTGCTCTTTCAGCTCTGGAAAAAAATTCAGGAAGGAATCCAGAAGATCTTGAGCCACAACGCTGGTAAATTTGTACTTCTCAATGTAGGCCTGAAAGAGTAAAAAGTTCAAATATGGTTAGGAGAAAGACAGCTTCCTTTTGATGTGGAACCACTGCATGCAACAACAACAACGAACAAATAGAAACAGAAGAGTGAGACCAAGCATCTGAAGATTTAAAAGAAATAATCAAGAAAAATATTCTCCCTCTTTGCCCAGACGAGTGAAGCACCATAAGAAAAAAACTGAGTAGCTGCAAATACACTGACAGCTCCGTACCATTTCTTCTACCTTTTCAAAAACAAGTCAGTAGCTGATAATTTTCTACAGGTTTTGCAAATGTGCTCCAAGGCTGCAACCTGCCCTTTGTCACCCTGGCAAAAAAACAAGCAGCTAACACTTCTTAGTAGTGAATCAAGCCACATCACTCCATTCACAGGCAATCTGTGCTGGAACAGCTTTCTAATTACTTGGAGCAGAGAACAAGAGATAACAAAAATATACTACTACTCTGTATGTAGCACTTCATAACCTCAGAATCTAAAAAATTCATCTAGGTTGACAGACAGGCCCACAATATCCCTCCATCTCAGACACAACTGTGTTCAACTTTACCCCTAGCAATTAGCCACAGTGACGAAACCCAGTAAAAAAGAACCAAACAACAACAAAAAAGCAGCTCTAAATTGCAAGAGAAGCACAAGCTTATTCACACTCACTCTCAGGAAGGAGTCAAAGTGTCTTGGGTCACCACAAAGCTGGGACAGGTAGTAAACAAAGCAGTAGCCTTTCTCATAGGTGAAGAGGTTCATTAAATTACTGGGATTTACACCTGAAAGGAGAAGACAACTGTGATAAGACACTCTAATGAGGACAGTGATTTCCAGCCCTTCTGAATATACAGACCCCTCAGAGATCACCAAGTCGAAACATAGTGACTTAAAACCCAAAGAAGTCTGTTGTCAGTACATTTAAGTTACTACAGTAAATCAAATGGATGCAGTGAAACACACAACCTGATAAATAATAATTAAAAACCCAATTATTGTAAGGCAGGTACTAATTCCCAATGGAACAAGTCACTCTAAATTAGAGGTCACAGAAAACATCTGAAAACAAATCCTTTTCTCATTTTTCAGTGCCAAACTCAGGGAATTGCCATACCACAAATTTTCAAAGATATCAATATAAGGTAATCATTACTTGCTCCTCTTTTGAAACTTCCAACATGTGCTTTTCCATTCCATTCACTTCCAGTATCATCTCCAGTTGCATTTGAGGTTGTTTTAAATACCACCTAGACTGAAAACTGCTTCACCCCACCAACAGTGACCACAGACCTAGAGAACTATCAGTGAAGAAGATACACAGATCTGGAGTGCATTCATGCATCTGGCTCAGGGAATAACCAAATAGCCTCTGCAAAGCTCAACTTGGAGCAAGTGCCTATGTTTATTGGCATGCTAAATACACACATATGTAGATCTTACATGAAAACATAAAACCAGGAACATTTAATAGCAGAGGATTTCATGTGATGTTTCCAAATATGTCCATTATAAACTACTTTATTTTATAAATTCAGAATTTCAAGCCCATACAGCTTTCAAGGCAGTTCTTCAAACTCTTTCTACGCAGTGAGTCTGTTCTGTTCTTACACAGAACAATATTTGTAAAGACAAGTTATCTAGATTCAAAGAAAACTTCAAGGCCAAGTTTCCTTACTTACTTTTAGCCTGGTTTACAAACCAGTATTTCTTTTTTCTTTCTTTTATAAATGATATGTAAAAATCAATCTTTTTTTTTCTATCTTCCAGCAGTGATATTCAAATGTGTATAATTTTGTGTACATTAGCCTCTGCCAAAAGCAATACCTGGCTCCAGTTTAACCTGAAGCTTGCTGACTGGGTTGTCTTCTCCAAGGAGCTTCATCTGTCTGTGGAGAGCATCGAGGCGGAATGCAGTCTCCAAACACGTGAAGGCAGCTCCTACCCCAGAAAATAACTTGTTAGTTGTGGGAAAATGACCAGCAAAACCTGACCTGTGCAGGACTAGCACAGCTACAAAGTAAAAGCTGCCAAAGGTGCAAAAGACACAACAGCAAGACAGAATCACAGTAATGTAATGGCAGGGAAACCTGAGTGCAAAACATCCTTTCAATTTGTAGTGGAAGTCAGAACCTAACCCAGTGCATTTCCTCACTCTGATTATGCAAGCAGGCTGCACTGAAAAACAAAGCAGTATGAAAACTACACTAGAGTTACATCCTTGACATCATCTTATCAATTCTTGCAAGATGAGCAGAGCAGCATTGAAATAAGTATTCTACAGGTAACTTTCAGGGAGCAATCAAGTACTACAAAAACATAATGCCACTGGTAGAAGAGTAGACACCATTTCAAGTTGCCAATAAGTAAGTTGCCAGTAAGTAAATGTCACCTCTGGGTGAAAAGAGAAAAGGATTAGATTTGGTTGGTATATTACTGATCCTTGTACCTTTTTTAACCTTTATCTATCATCCTACCCATATTTTGCCATACATTTTTCACCTTGCACTCATTAGGGTTTTCTACAGCTGTGACTGGGTAGGCCATTCCTTCTCTTCTCCCTAACTGCAGTGCAGAGCATTCCATGCTTTCGAGCCAAACTAGCTGTATTACACTGGCAAGTCAAGAGATCTTTCCTATGCCCTTGCACATGATAAAGGCAGAAGAAAACTGATTTTCAGATTCAGAAGATACTTAACATCCATAACTATTAACATTTTAGCCTTCTTTGCTAAGTTTTCAACTTGAGCGATAGTGTTTGTTACATAGATCCAATCTCAGAGTCTCAATGTACAAAACACTAAAATCCAATAAAAGCAAAATGCGAATCAAGAAGCAGGATATATTTGAAAGACAGGAGAACCTGTATGAGCAGAGCAAGGGGCGGATGTGCTTCCCAGGGGAAAGCAAGAACCAGGATAGCTAGTGTTAAGGGCAATTACTTCAAGCTGCAGGGAGAAGGATTAAGCAAGATCCAAGAGATGTGGTAGTCAGTGGACTCAAATTTCTCTAAACAGTGTCATTACAAAGATGCGTTTTTATTAACAACAGAAGATACTCCAGAAATTATGTCAGAAATGGCAAGATTTAGATCAGAGGTTTGTCTTAGAAACAAAATACAAAATAGAATGGAAAAGGAGCTTACTAAAGAATGGCACAGGGAAAGGCATTTCTTAGTTTCCTAACAAATGCTTCTTGAAACAACCAGTTCTAAATTTCAAGAGAACAGACCAAAATCAGCAAATAGCTTGTTCTGCATCAGAGGGACAGACTAAGATGGGACAGAGAACAGGTCTCCTGACCTACTCATATCACTGCCATGTGTAATGTGACTTAGGACAGTCCTAACCACTGAGAATTACTCAACATAAAAGCAGCTTTCAAAGACATACAATATGCAAAGTAACATCTCCATAGATGCTCAGAGCACTTCTTTCCCTAAACGTAATCATTATCGGTTCATCTCCAAAAACAATATACATGAATAAAAACATAAGCAATCTTCTAAACACTTTTGCTGCCAAGATTTCCAGTAATTTTTCTGAGATTGTTTGCAGCAGACATGTAAGAATACACATGGAACTGGCTTTTAAGAACATAACAGGACAAACTAGAAAACTGTGCGTTCCCATTATTCACTTTAGCAAAAAGCCAATTAAATTTAAAAACAAGAGGAATGATTTACTACTTATATATTCTAAAGGCAGCATCAACAACTGGACTGTGAAATTCACTGACATAAGCAAAGGCAGGGCTGTACAGCCCTGCAGGAAGCCTCCAGCAGATAAAGAGACAGCTACATAAATGTATACATTTTTTTGTGCTATTGTCATCATTCATTCTAACAGCAGGTACCTACTAACTGATCAGAATTAGAAGGACACCTGTTCAGAGGACAGTTATTTCACAACGCAACCATAAGATTCCTTACATCTTTCTCTGAAGTATCTTCTGCTCACCTTGCTCTGACATATGAACACCTGCCTGGTACTCAACAGTAGTTCCAAAGTCCCTATAACACTGTGCTAATACACCTCACTCAAAGCCCCTGCTACCATATCAGGTATTGATTCCACCCAAAACCAAGACAACATCAAACTCTAAGCATTTAAAGTGCTCAATGCAAAGTTTGTGGCTGAAAACCAGCTCCCTACAGACTTCTGAGCTTCCAAGGGCAAATATCCCACTGCAGGCAACTCTGTTATGGTAAGGTGTAGACAAGGGGACACGTTTCTGCAGGTGTACCGTAGGTCTCGGTGGTGATCCGGCGCTGCGCGTAGGTGGCCAGGCCCTCGCTCAGCCACATCTCCTCCCAGGTGGCATTGGTGACTGCATTTCCAAACCAGCTGTGGGCAACCTCGTGGATGACGTCAATGATCAAAAACTCATCGCTCTCCAGAATGGAAGAGATGATGAAGGTCAGGCATGGGTTTTCCATAGCAACAATAGGGAAGGATGGAGGAAGAAAAACAATGTCATATCTAAAATTAAGGAGAGAGGGGAGAGAGGGGAGAGAGGAGGTGAGTAAACTACAGCTGTTTCAGAAGAGACACAGTAACATTTTCCTTTCTTTAGGAAAGGCCCGTCCGAGACCTTTATGTGACTTCGTGAACGAACTTCCTAGACCAGTGGTGCCTAGTTCTTCTGATCAGGGAATCAAGTATTTCTTCTGTTGGCCAAGGACCTGCTCACATTTGGACATAAAGACTTGACAGTCTTTTCATGTGCAGCAGATCCAGCACTTCCCAAAAGCATCATGCTCCCTTCACACACACAAACTCATCACAAATTGTGTATCTGAGAGCCAGAACCACTAAGTTTACACTATATACAGCAGTGTAACAGTGTTGAGTCTCCAAAGGCCTCCTGGAAGACTGGGAAGCTCTCAATGAATTAACTGATTTGGTTTACATGCAGTGTCAGCAAAATAACTCAGATCTGTCTGCTTCAGAACACAACAATAATATTTGGTTTATTTTCTAAATTTCTCTACCAATGATCAGCCCTGGCACACTGGGCAATGTTGCCAGATTACTTCAAGTAACATTTCGTAAGTTAACAACGAGATCTTCCTGCTTACCTTTAGCAAAGAAATATAGGAAGCCTTGGTAAACACGGTCTCTCATCCAAAGAATGAAATTATTCTCTTAAAAACATTCTTTTGTAATACATAGTCAAGCTTAATTCAAGAAGTATTAATGTTGGTTTTGGGGACTTGGACTCTCAATGACTCTGTACTGAGATTTTCAGTATCTTCAGGCCTACCACAATAAATACATCACATCTCAAGTGCCACATGCAGAAATAAATGAGATAAATAAAATAGCCACACATTTTAAATGGTGTCTGGCCCAGTGCTGGGCTTGCATCACAAAACACCTTCATTCCTTAGGAAAGATCCACTGTTTAGAAACCTCCATTCTGCCCCATAAATCCGGTAAAACACGTCTGTGCCTTCATGGTCCTCACTGCCACTTGTGGAGACAAAACTCTGGAGTTTGTTTTCAACTACTACAATCGTCACTTGAAATGCTCATTTGCCTTGCTATTGCATAGGGAGAAAGCATGATCATTTCTCAATATTGTTTTATTTTGTTCCCATTATACATCCTGGGAGACTGATTAAACTCACCTTCCCCATATATAGGGGCCATACAGACTCTCTGCAGCAGTCAACCAGCGTTCAACAATGCCAGAAAGCTTGCTGATGGCTGTTGGCAGCAGGCAAGGCTCTGCCCACACTCTGCTCCTGTCAGAAAACAGAAAACATCAGGTGATACTTCAGCAAACTGAATTATCTCTTAGAAAAAATAGTCTGACTGCTCAATACACTTCCATGTATGGTAATAGTGAGAGGAGGCCTCCCATCAGACTCGGGCCCTCCTCGGCTAACGCTCCATGGCAAGAGGTAACCAAAGATCCCTACAATAAGGCAATGAAAAAGCAGCTGTAATGACTGCAGGGGACAATAGGCAGCATTTATGAAAGAGGAATATATCTTTGCCAGTGCAGTGCCATGAATTTCTTTACACCCAACTACACCTCAAACTCTCTCAACACTCACAGCTCATGGACCCAACTGTTCCAATATTACTGACTCAATGTCATTAGTACTTACAACACAAAGTACTGTACAGAGACAGAAAACGCAGAATCAACTCACTGCAAACCTTACCTTGGGCCTATGTCTGCATGTATAAGGTCTCCTGCCACCAGGGCCACTAAGTAGGCAGGAACTGGATATTCCATGTAAAATTGATATACACCTTCCTCTTCTAGGTAGGAACTTTGGGTGGCACTCATCAACACCTGTATGCCTGCTGGAGCCTGGAAGACCAACATCATACACATCAGCTCACCAGATGATCACAGCTGAATGACTACACCACAGATCTCTTGTTTATTTTCATCTGAGGATGTACATTAAAAACAATCATTTTAGATAACACAGAATGTAAGATTTCTGTGAGATTTTTATACCACAACCTGCCCAGCCCATGAAAACATACCAACTAAAAACATTACTTCTCCTATATGCCAGCTGCCCCAAAAGCACTCACATATCAAATTATTGCATCTATACAAGATGCAACATTATTTGACACTACTGGAAGCAACCAACCAAATTCTCTCTCATATTATCCATTTCACAATTACTCTTTCAGCATTAAGTATAGGGGAGCAAGACCCAAGTGCAATAGGCAGCAGAGTTACCTTCGTGGCACTACCCTGATTCTGGCCCAAGAACCAGAACGGGACCTAAAAAATGCAGTATTTTTTATAACTCTGAATCACAGTTAATATTTTTATCATGTGTACATACATGATGTAACTATGCTTTCACAAGTGAACAGCAACTAAGAGCTCCATTCACAGGCATTCGGCCCCTTACCTTGACAGTAGCTGAGTAGGTGCATTTCACTGCAGGGGTGTCAAAGCAGGGGAAGAAGGAGCGGTTACACACCGAGTGGCCCTGCGTGAAGACAAATGGCTTGGCATTGCCGTACGTCAGCTCTGGATCCAGCCACCAGATCTGTTAAAACACGACGTGAAGAAGAGGTGAGGGAAAGGGACAACACAGGGATGAACTGCCAAAAACTAAATCTGAAATCAAGAGGATTGTGGGGGAGAAGCACCACCTCTGTTGTTTGGCTCCCTAGATGAATACCTGGCATGGGGCACATTTCCATTTCTAACAATACGTCTTTCTACTCCAGTTTATTTGCTGGGACTGCTCAGAGGAATTTCTTACTGCCTGACCACTGAGTGGTGACACCCTGCATAGTGACTTCCAGCCATTCACTATTTCTGTTCTGTCAATTTGCTTGGTTAATAGCAAGTCCCTAACCAACATCCACACAACCTCCTTCTCAGAGGGAATACTCTGGATATCTTCATGTTTATAACTCAATTTGAACAGGAGTAGAAGGGGACAGGTAACGCAAGCTGGGGAAAAAAAGAAAACAAACCACCCAAAACAAACCCAAATCCACAAACTAAAAAACCCTGAGGCTGAACAGTGTACACAACATTATCTGTGACCCTGACACTCCCTCCTGGCTGAAGCATCAAACATTTTGACACTATGCAAAAAAGTTGGTATATGTAAGAAACATCTGGTCAAGGACACTGGAGACCCCTTTTTACAGAATGGATAAGGAGATTCTGGGTGGTCACAAAAGCAAAAACCAACAAAACACAACACTGAGCATGTCAATTTTCAGTACCAAACAGCAAATAAATCACAAGTCAGACCCTCAGCAAATAATTAGAATAGATTAAGAATAATAAGAAAAAATGCAATTATTTGCCTTTTGTTTTTTCTGTTTCAAATGTTTGTGCTTTCACATGCTCCCTGCCTCCAACTTTGAAGTGTAGGAGCAATTTTAAATAAGGATTTTCTTGTAATCCTAGAACTCTGGAGCTGAACTTTAATGGAAAATATCAAATATTGTGAAACTTGCAATAAAGCTGGAACCACTGGAAGTCTTGGGAACAATCAAGCACAAGGAATAAAACTTCTGAGTCTGCTGAATTCTTAGATCAAAGGAACCAATAAATCTGAAATCAGGGAACAGCAGTTAGTGCAGACATTAGTTCAGTTCTGGTCCTCAAGGGAAAGCAATGAAACACAGAGGAGAAACCTGAGTACTAAGTCTGCTCATGTTTTAACAACATATTACAACTCTGTCTCCTAGTTAACCTGTCTTCTGGAAGTTAAAGTTTTCTCTCTCTCCTGTCCTATCAGGTTACTCTTTGTTATCTTCTCTTGCCTTCAGACCTTTTTCCTCAGCTGCCAGTGTACTCCTCTCCCAAATCATCCACTGCAGCAGCACCCCCGGGGATCAGTGAAAGGTAAAGACAGGAAACACACTGTCAGCAGCTTCCAGTTGTTCACATGGAGGCTCACACTTCCACTGGCAAACGTTTGGGTATTTTCAGGTGGGAGGCATCACAAAATTAAAAACCTCTACGTAGAAGTAACATTAATCTCAGAACAGCATTCTTATCTTAAAATTTGGTTTAAGATTATCCTCTTCTGTTTGAGCCTCCAGGGCCAGAAACATGCTTAAAGCAGGACTCAGGGCTCAGGCTGTGCCACTGTTCACATCCACGTGCTGCATTTCAGCGTAGCACTGCCCACACTCCTGGGTCACAGCCCAGGGGCACTACTTAGCTACAGATTTCCACTCCATGGATACCTGCATTTCACAGCAATGAGTATTGTCCCTGCAATGTGACATTGTGGAACTGGAGACAACTATTCCAGAAGGCATTTGGGGACATCTGTCTCATTAAACCCCACGGTATGAAACTAATAGCTTCCGCCCAGATCACACATTCACAAAAAAATGCAAGTGCTGTGTTTTAACCCAGAGTAGTAGCTTTCTAATGATCCAGGGAGGAGGCTCAGAAATTAAGCTTTTAAAGATCTGCCCAAATGCCAACTGTTAAAAGCACTCCTCTGATCCGTAGCTTTGTGCTTGTGTCACAAAGTCTGACTTATGTAAGGTTGGCCCTGAAGAGACTCATCCTCAAAATGTTCTCTTTCCTTTGCTTTTTGAGAGACAGAAAAGGCTAACAAAAAAACCAGAAAGATAAGGCACCACCAGACCTAAGTTGCAACACCTAAGTAGGAAGGAAAAAGGGCTGACAGACGATGTCTTTAGAGCAGAGAGATAAGGGGAAGTTCACCCTAAGCAGGGCAGGAGGAAAACATAAGCAGGAAGGGGAGGGAAACTGAGAGCTGATTCTTGTTTACAAGAAACTCCATAAATTAAGGACAATTTCTTTTCAACCAATACCCCTTTATTTGACATTTGGTTGAAGTTAAATGAAGCACCAGCCCCACAAGCCAAGAGGGAAAACATTTGCAGAGGATGAAGTATTTTTTTCCCCTGTTTTCTAATGTCTGCAGCTACATGGCAAGCCTCCGTCTCTCTTTCCAGAGGCACTTGGAACAATGATGAAAGTTATCCTGAAACAATATAAATAGATCTGTAATATAAATAGACCAGGCTATGCCACCGGACAGAGGCAGGGCTATGGGCTGGGGAAAACAAGTAAAAGCAGCACCCCAGAAAGGAGTGTGAGGCACAGGGTGCTGCTGGGGCAGGCCATGGAGCCCTGCACAGGGACAGAGTGGCATTGGGGGCTGTATCATCTACTCCACATCCAAATCCCTCCTGCACTTCCCTTGGGAAATACACATGACATCATCATAATGCTCTTCCTTTTTATCTAGCCTTCCATGTATACAGGAAAGCTGTTTCACACATTAACGCTGTTCTGTGATGCATTTCAAGCAAAAAAAAAAACCTGCTGCATGGTTCCTCTGCTGAACAGAGGCTTTGGACAGCCCAGGCTTCACCCTGCCCACATACTGCAAGAAGTTCCCACTTTATAAGACACCTGCCAAGAGTATAATTTTTATTGACTTAGATCATAATCTTTTACCCAAATCTGGCAGACAACAAAGGCAATTAGCTAAGCCTCTTTCAGTTTTAAATCCTCCATGTCTCTACATGTATTATTGATGAAGGTCCCAGGAAGAGCTGCAACGACACAGCTTCTGTTCTAGGCAAACAAGCCACTCCATCTGATGACAAAGTAAACCAAACACCTGAGATGCAGAGCATGTTACAGGAGCAAGGCTCACCTGGGCAGGAAATCACTGTAGGAGGACTGAGAAATTCAAGACAAATCTAAGCAACACCTGAGAAGTTTCAGCACTGCAAAGAGGGCTGTCCTTTTTGTTAAATCCTGAGGACGAGGAAATGCTATCATTTTTTATTCCAGAACACAGAGCCAGATTTTCATTTAAGGAAAGAAAATAGCACTGATGTTAAGATGTACACTGCCAAATCAGAGGTGTGGCACAGTTGGCAAGAGAGAGGTGTAAATTTTTCTCTCTAGGGAAAAAAAAAAAAAACCCAAAACGAAAATATCATGCAAGAGTATTACTTGAGGAGTGAGGGAAAAGAAGGGGAGGAAGAGCAGAACTACAGTCCCTGACACACCTGATCAGTGTGTGCCTTCAGCCCACACTGTGAGAGATACAAAATTATGACGACAGTCTTGCCTCTGATGGAAACTGGTGATGTACCAAGCATATGGTTTCCTAACAGCACAGGGAGCTGGAATGCTCTGTGAAAGGCAGATTTAATCTCTCAGCTGTCTCTCAATGTCCATCAAACAACCAAAGATCTTGGCTCCTTCCTCCACACGAGAAATAATGGAACAGTCGAATAACATATCCAGATGGCTCAAACCAAGTATATCAAGACAAAAGGTTTCCAATTTTAAACACTCTAGTATCTCTGCTGCTGATCTTACTGCCAACACATTCACACTTCACTGCAACATGAATTTACTGTTTTATAGGTCCCATAAGTATGTTTAGGGTCCCACAGAAAATAAACCCTGACCTAAGGAGAATATATTCCTAGAAAGGCCAAAGAAAACAGAACTCCTAGAAAAGAGAGGTCTAACATTGTAAAGTTGCCTCACTGACACAGAGAAAAGGAAGGGACAGGATACATACAAGACACAAATATAAACAAGTTCACCCTTATACATATATGGGTTACTCTTCCCTGTTAAAGTGCAACACTGGGCTGGAAAACAGCAATGACAGAGAGCACTACAATAGCACCAAACCACTTTGGATCCAAAAACAATAGTTCAGCATACTGAACATGAAGGGCTAGAACAGGTGCTACTCGAGGACAAATATTCTGCCAGCCAAAACCTACAATTGTGAGCGAGCAAACACAGTAGGACTTATGTCAGTGAGCATGCCTGTTTCTGCTTTCCAGTATCACTCAGGAAGGGCAGTGCATGTCCCTGACTCTGACCATCAATAATCTTTTGACATGAGTCCTTGCAGCTTCATTTCAACTGAAGCAGTACACACTATTAAAGGCACCATAAAGACTTCAAAGACAGGATGAGAATAGCTAGTTCACCTCTGATCCAGGGGGAGCAAGACAACAATAGAGGGAATGGAAGAAATTTTCTGCTCTTAGCATCCTCAGGTATGGGACATCCACATGGGACAGTGTGTGGGGCCAAGGAGGCAACACACTCATGCAAGGTGAAACTAAAGGACATCACATCAATCAGTGCCCTGCATCTTCCAGTGGTTTTCAGGTCATTCCTGAGACTCAGATGAGTACTGCACTACATCTGAGATCATCTCTCCACAGACTCAGCAGGACAGGCTGCCCCTTTGGCAACAGGGCTGGCAAAAACCAGGGGTAAGCACAGGCCAGCCTAAAATAAAACAGTTTGTTCAAGAGGAAGAAAGCGTGTTATCATGTACTTCGGGAGGTCTAGCTCAGCCAGACTGAGAATGATTGCACACAGCAATGCCAAACTAGCTTTAAAGCTTTCTCACCACAAAAAAGGCAGAGAGTGGACAAAGAAACAGGTTTCTTCACAAGCCTTGGGAAAAAAATAAAGAACGGAATCTTCTGAACTCACTGTGGGCTACATGGAAGAGTATTGTACAAGGAAATATTAAAACCAGGAGTTCCTGAGGTGAAATGGAACAATATCCAAGTGGATCTGAATTTAAAAGTGCCAGAATCTTACTTCATTTTTACACTTTAAGGGAAGGACTAAAACATTAAAAAGGCACCATGTGACCACAGGAAACTTCTGTCAATAAAAACCTTCATGTGCAACTCACTGTTCCGAGTGAGCCAATGTATTAAGACTACCTAGATGATTCTGAGGATGAAATTAATTTCTTGAGCTTCAATGCAGTATTGAAATTAGACAGAAAAACATCCAGCAAACTCATTCTATTCCGCGACGCCTTCCTATCATGAGGAAAGGCCTACTATTTACTTGCTGTTGGGCTGTTTTCCAAGAAACTGTTATGTTCAATTCCTGCTCTTGTTAAATACCTTGTAACAGTCAAATAGATCCACACGTTTACAGATTTTGACCAGTGCAACAGCAACACCAAACCAGTCGGCTGAGTCAATTCCTCTAAGCAAGACAGAGGCAGCAAAGTTGCAATATTCTCAGAAAAACGTTCCTTTTGCAAATAGATTCATGAAGCACATAATGAAAATCACATCAGTTTAGTTCCCAACCTGAACTGACTGTACAGTAACAAAAAGAATCAATATTCCAGTGATAACTTCATGTTTTCACTGTCATAACTTCTTAAAAGCACAAGATCTGCTAGGCAGTACCTAAAAGGCCAGGAACAAACCGCTTCTAAATACCAGGGGTTTAAAAGAAGAGACAGAATTTACAAAGCATCTCGCTGATGAAGAAAGCTAATCAACAGAGACATGGAAGCACCTCCACGACCACATCCAAACAGGTGTTTGGGGCCATTTCTCATCCCTTTTTTCCAGCAGAAAACTTGTAGGAACATGTGGAATCACCCCTGTTCTTCTCAAAGCTCCTGACCACAGCTCTTTGGAACGTCAGCCTGGGTGTGCAACGCCTGATTTTTTAAGTGCCTGGCAAAACCCCCAGGGAAACTCCTGCATTGTGGATGACATAACTTGTCTTGAAGAACTGAGTCGAGGCCAAGAGTTTACAAATTTTCCCTCTCCTCGTCAACAACTGTAACGCCCTTAAAGGACGAAAAACTTTTAAATTACTATCGTGGGGGGGGATGAACAGCCTTGGGAGCCGCGGAGATAGATGGGGGAAGGCAGGAGGGAGATCGGCAGGGTCGGTACGAGCATCGCCGCTGAGTGCGGCGGGTGACCGCGGGCGGGGGCTGGCACCGCCGAGTGCCCCTGCGGGCAGGGACAGATGCTGCTG